CTAAATTCGTACCCTAGCCCACAGATAACCCTCTATTTCACAGAAGATCGCCCCGTCTTGCCAGGGAGGACCTTAATCAAAAGCGACGTTCATTCAACCAAAAACAAATTAAAGCTGAGCGGCAGACAAGCGAGAATTAACCGAAGTTAAGTGAGAGCGCCGATAGTTGAAAGCTATCAGTACAAAGCAAACAAGTTCCCTGTGATTTGTGAAAGTAATCTAGATAGCCTCATCAGCTTCTGCTGGCCCCCACCGCGTAAATGTGCCGCCAAAAGCCGCCTTAGACCCCAACGCTGAAAACTGAGATTGGCAAACCTCATTCCGGAATAGATCCTAATTTCAACAGTAATTTGCTCAGGCGACACAAGTTTAACCATATAACAGGAGACGCTGTTAAGACCCTTCACACAAAGTTGGATCTGACATGAACTATTTTTGTTTGTTCTTTGTTGGGGAGAATTTTTTCGCTCGTAATTGTGTATCTAAAATTGGTAATGTTTTAAACGGCACTAGGGTAACAGCGGTGTGTCGTGCTGCACAAAACGCAGTCTGATGTGTGTGTGGAAAGGAAAATCCAGGTAATAGTGGCCACACAGTATTGACAACCATGGGCGGTGTTATCTTTATCTATCATTTACTTTTTATGGTAGCAAATTTCCTCTCTGATAGTACTGTAGCAAGTAAATATGATGGTTTCAATCACTCTTCTAATATGATATAAATTCTTCTTGCCTTTAACCGTCTTTGAATCACATTTTTCTAGATAATTAGAAATTCAGTTTAGAGTATATAACACTTGTATGACTAAAGTTAGATAGTTGTGGTGTTGAGTATTGTTGCCCCTCACCATATGATCGACATACCTAGTTTTGCAAACTTGACGTACAGTGCAACCTATTGTTGGAAAAATGATATGACGGTTATTGCATTCTGATCAGGAAATTAGAAAACGTTTTAATTGATCTATTGGCATAGATAACATATTTGATTTTTCTAAAAAGATGTATTGGTTCCACAGCGACCACTATACTGAGATTGCAAAACAATATTTGGCCAGCAAGTACCCCTTCCTTGAAATCATTTACGTAAGTATAAAATAAAAGCATTTTCTTTAACTTACTCGCAGTTATTTTCATACAGACAAGTTTGAGTTTTGGCTTTTCATTTACAAACAAGTTTATTTTACTGCCAGACGTGCAAAAAATGTCTGGCCCATTTATAAAAATAATATATTAATTCATCAGTTTTTTTAGATTCAATCTTCGCAGGCCCAAAATATCAAAATGACGCATTTATACAATGCTCATTTAGCATGTTAAGACCCACTTGTCTCTTCTGTTAAGACCTCTCTTCATTCATTCTCTCTTGTTAAGGCTTCTTTATGTGCCCTGGCGGTGGATGACTAGGCAGATTTTGTTTTTATTTGTTGTACATGTAAATTAAAAATTTAGCAATCTTTCACCCTCTCTCTCTCTCTCTCTCTCTCTCTCTCTCAGTTGCACAAGGACAAACATTGGAACACATTCTGCCTCCTCGCTTAATAGATCCTCTTTCCTTTTATTAAGATACATTATTTAAAAAAATGAGAAATATTATAGATTTGTATAGTTGTTATAAAGATGTTATGATTAGAGTAGAGAGCCTGTAAAATGACTTGTACACATTTTAATGGTCAATACAAATTATATGTAAAAAAGTATGCACCCCACAATGTATTCAATATTTTTTTCAATGTAACCCACTTTTTCTCATTACATATTCCATTCTTTAAAATTTGCAGTTTCTTTAAATAATTATTTAATAATAACCTGCGGCGTCTCGTCTCCCCTTATATTTTTTTCAAGGCACAAAACGTTCCATTCCCAGTTTAACCCCGTTCTTTCCCTCTCAATGCCAGCCACCTGTCTTAAGGCCCGTGTTTTGGTTGAAAACTCATTTCCTACCCGCTGAGGCAGAAAAATAATAGTTTCCGATAATTCTTGCTGGGACATGGCAGTTAAGCAAATGGAGACTGGGACCACGTGGCATTGCGCACTTGTGATGCTGAGCATGTCACTTGCACGCTGCATCTGCACGACTGGACTCAACTCCGCCTTGGAGAGCATCGGGGGAGATATCTTATATTTCAATGACTTTTGTTCAAAATAAACTATTTGAATACTTAACACTGGTCGCATATGGTTCAATGCTTTTCCACACTTTTTATTTTGATTTTAATTCAATGAAAATACTTATTTATTAGTCAATTATTCATTTTCAAATATTTCTTAATTTATTAATTTTAGTTTTTGTAGGACTTCATAATAACGAGTTATTGGTAGCAGCACAATTTCTGCCCAAATGAACTTTTTATGTCGTTTTTAAATAGTTCCATTAACATAATTTGCAAGGCAAAAGATGGGTTAAGAAGGATTGCTAAGTATATGACCGAATTAATGAATAAAGAAATAACAAATGATAAAATACTACTTCTATTTGTAGTCCTCTCTTTCCTCCTCCTACAAACACTAATAGAATAAAACAATTAGCCTATTATAATAAAATGTAGGCTGTTAATCACCATAATCCTTTTCTATCAAACCTTTCTGTTTCTCTTTATGTTAAAAGCAAACCGGGAACTATGACTATCCAACAAGTCTCCTCTATTTTTTTCAGTTCTAGTTGAAGATGATAATCCCAAGAAGTGAACTTCCCCTAGAACAGAAGGTATTGGGTCGTTATTATTTCTTGTTGTTCAGGGTTCACGGCAGTACAGGCAGACCTGCACCAGAGAAATGTTAGTACAAGTGAGAGAAAAATGTCCAAGGCCCAAGGAAATGATGATTCAAACCGGACTTTGATAACAAACCGTCCGGTTACTCTTACGCCAATCTCTTGTTTCGTGTTGTGCAAGCGCTCGAACAGTTCGTCAAGGACATCGTCGATGACGCTAGGCTTGGTCAGGGCCGCTTACCAAATAATTGTCGCCTCAGAGGTTGATAATACACACTGACGGAACCAATATAGCAAGTTTTTTATTCTCTCAAATATATGCATGTTAATAGCATCAACTTATCAATTCAGAAAGTATCTTTTTATTATAACATGTAAAAATATAAAATTATAAAATAAAGATTAAATACGTTGCTTTGCATCAACATTCATCATTTTCATTCAAAGCCCATTAAGATGTTTCAAACTCATCTTTAATATCTGAATGAGGGAAATCAGATGAAAATGAAAATTGTTTCCATTAATTGGGCAATACCAATTAACACCACTTCCAGGCAACTAAGGGCGTGTAATTACCTCGCTGACCATGCAGTTTTCCTGATTTCAATTTACAACCTCACCTTAGAAGACCACATAAAAGCACCTGAAAACGGATTTATACTTGCATTAGGCGTTTTCTTTTCGATTCGATTTTAGTTTACGAGATGGTTTGAAAAAATACCCTAGTAAAGCGTTCGCTTATACCGTTCTTCGTTTCCCCTGCATTTATAGTATTTGCATGTAAGAAAAATAAAAACAAGCAAAGCATAAGTGTTTTTTTTAGTAACCTCTGTCATTTTCTCGTTTTGTCAATGAATGTATCTTTATTAACAATATTTCTCCAGCTTTTTAGTCATCTTAAACCGACTTCATAAAAATACCACCGTCTCAAGCAATATGTGTCCTATTCTAGTCAGAATAAGTAAAATATGAACAAATGTGAAAAGGTAAATCAAAGGAGTAGTAGTGTTTCGTGGCTGTGAAATATTGCAGTAATATTGCCAGGTAAAAGAAAACAAAAACAAATTGCGTGACAAGCGATTAATAACAAAGGAAAACAAGAAAAGGAAAAAATCAATGGCTTTTACAATCATTTGTAAAAAGCATTACTGCACCCGACCAAAAGTTGCCTGCCTTGGTTTGCCTGGTCTATGCATTGGCATAACCAGCCCCCTGCCCTCGTATAATAGCTAAAACACACACGCTCGGTAATCTGGGCACTTAACAATTATCTGTTATTTGGACAAGTGTCCGTGTGATTGTGTAGAGCAATTATTGGATTAGCGTTCCTTCTTATGCCGAACTAATCAATTATTGTTCTGCACCGGTTGACCCTAAGGAAGTGCAGGAGCGTCAACAGGAACCTGCACTTAAAAACCTGTGAGAAATCAAAGCCTGCTTCTGAGAAATAAAATATAAGCATCGTGTTCAACAAGCTTACAAACAGATATTTCTTGTGATCCGTTTTCTTTCGAAGGCAAAAATTTCCCATTTTACGTGTGTTGTCTTTTATCATTGAAGGTATTTTTGAAACAAAAAAAGACGGAAGGACATGAAACAAGTTAGGAACGGTATAAGAATGGAGAATGATCGACTGTAATTTCTTTTAAAACCAGCGATTAGTGCCATATTTTTGAGAAAGAATTTCTCTGTAAGTAAATGCATTTCTTAAGATGAATCTAGATCACAATAAAGGGGTAGAGCAACTAACTGTTTAAAACAAGTTGTTTAGAGTTGAAATAGTCGCCCAATCAACTTCATGCACATGTCTAGATCTAACGTTATATTATTACCGATATTTCAGTTTTAGTCAAGTCGGCTTTGTTTGAACACCATAGAGTCGAAGTACCAGGCTTGAGTTTCATGTCTAATTTTGGACTTGAGTCAATGATTATCGAAATTGAGCATCACTGTTATCAAAAATTCTTGTCATGTGATTTAGAAAATGGCTTCCAGCGTTACATAATATACTGTATTTGGACTTGTGTGAACAAGAAACCTTAAAAAGTATAGTTCTTCCGAATTGTTCAAATTCAAGGAAGTGTGGAATGTGTGGTATTAAGTAATAACATCGCGAGACATGTGGCACATTAAAGATAAAAATGTCTACAATATGTTGATGTAATGGGGCATACGCGTGATCACACGATTACAACATAGCCACATACATCGCATACCTCTTGGATCAAAGAACAAATACCTAAAATCTTCAACAACAATTCATTTTTCTTGGTTAAAAAATCACGCAGAATAAATTTCGCCTATTGTTTGGAATTCATTTTCATGCCTGCATTCGCTGTATTAAATTACAGAAAAAAACTGAAAACTAGACAACAAAGACGGCACATATACAGACAAAAAATAAATAAACTGATTCAACATGGATGGCAAGGGTTTTTAAAAAGTTCTCCAAAAAATCAGCAATGTTCACATCAACATCGGGTACGGCCTGTCTAAAAGAAGTACGTGTTACCAAGGAGGTACATGAAATTTTTCCTTGGTTCAACACTGTTCACAACCTTGTTGTTTTCCTGGATGTCACAGATACTTAGTGCAGTTCTGTATCGACACATCTTTTATTTTTTCTTTAAAAAAAACCTTGTATACAATGGAACTCAACAGTTCATACAACACGGGCATTATCCTATGAGAGAAAGCCATGGGGGTTCGGTTGGTACATGTATATTTGTTTGCCCTATAAGGAAAGTTTCGTTGAGCGCATTAACAGATGATCCATGGACTAACTGATCCGTCGCCTTAATATGGCCGACCCAGCTTTGAAGCAAGCAGCTTAATTCCCTGATGGTCTCCCTGCCTCCACACGCGCCATTAAAAGGATCAAATCTCGGCCATACTTAGTCTGCAGATCAACTGGTTCTGAATGCACTCATTCACTTTTCATGCACGCGCAGCATCCTTCTCTAAGGCACATCTCTACTGACTCAGGTTTCTTCTTTTCTATCTTCCAGACGTTTTATGTTTTATCAGCCATATATTATTGGTCCTATGTAGTAGTGTATGATTGTTCTTCTTATTTCTATTGATATGGTTGGATTAGTCATTTTTCAATTGGTCAATTTTTGTTTTAATTAGTCCAATTCTTGAGGATATTTCTGTTGTGATTATAAAGTGTTACTGGGGGCATAATAATTTCTTTGGCTCAACAGAAAAGGGATGTTAAACAGTTCTTTAAAAAGCCTACTAAATTGTATAAAAGTATGCCATCCCAACCAAAAATAATAGTTGGTGGTACAATATACACTTCTTCAGATTATTTCAAATAAATAACCACAGTCAGTGTTAAACTGATATCTAGCTGGCAGAATTTGCAAAAAAAAAAAAGGTTGTTTTCCAATTTCCAACGATCTTGTGTCATTCCTCGGCCAATGCAGTCCATTATCTTAGTCTGTCAGATGTGATCCTTGTATGTCAGACAACCACTTAGTAAATTAGACTTACTCAAGCAGTCTTCCATGGTGTGCATGCAACATACCAATAATAAACACAACCTTGCTGTCCCTAGTCATCATGAAAATAAAAGAAAAATGAAGTATATCCAAGAGGCACTTGTGTTAACCTTCAATCTGACATTGCTTCAACTTTTGAGTTGAATATATGAATCATTACATATAAAAGAACATGCCTCAATCTTGAAATTCACAACAAACATCTCTAATATTGGTGTTATGCATGTAAAACTTTTATCATAACACTTGATTAATATGAAAACTGCATAGCATTTATATCACAAATATATATATATATATATATATATATATTAGTTAATGTGACTATCTTTCTAATACCTAGGCGATTTGGCAATCTCCTGAAGTGAATCAGTGCAGTTTTATACACCACTTCATGTTAAAAGTGTTTAACACATCCATTTTGCTTCTGATCACCAGAAGTTTGTCTCCAAATATTTTTATGATCTGTATGCCAGTTTGTGTCATGATGTTAAGTTTGGAGGACTTAAGAACTAAAGAGCATAAAATGATATATTTTGTCAACATGAAAACTGATTAGGATGAAACACCCTGTAGCTTACTGCAATTAAATGTTAGGCGCTTAAAACTGAATACATTTTTAAGAGAATTTTTTGTGAGCAATGATATGGAAGTTCTGTTCTGAAAGGTGTTAGAAAGAACACTTTTGTAGCTTAAAATGATATATTTTGTAAAAATTAGATAATTGTTTAATGCACAAAACCAATATGAGAGCCTATTTAATAAATAATATGTCATTATTGCCTTTACCTTGGTATTGTCCTTGAGGAAACAATTTTTTTTCATTGTAACACACAGAAGAAAAAAACGTTATGACAATTTTTTTTAAATTCCTCATGATGTTAAGTTTGAAGGACTAAAGAACTATTTGGCCAAATAAAAAACAAAACAAAGTAAAACAAACAAACAATGCAATGACAAGTCACAAGCTGTGGAGTAGCTTTTCAAAGTCCTCCATTATCATAAGGAAGTACAGCAGATCTGTTCTACCTCAGTGTATTCAAGTATTTGAGTACTAAATTTATAAATAACTTTGGACTCAAACATTTATCTCAGCATGGTTTCCTACTACCAACACTGGTATCAGATCTTTACTTCTATATCAGATAAATGTGTCCAATGCTGCTTCTTGTAATTGAAATCCCCAAAAGTCCACTTTGTCACTTCAATTATATCCAATGTACAGCAGTCACTTGACATGGAATTGGATGCATTTCAACTGTTCCTCACTTTCTTGCCATTGATGTCCCATCTCTGAACTGGCTTGCGGTCTTTATGGTTGCCCCTCTCTTCCTCTGAAGTTTTGTTCCAGTAGATTATCAATCTCCCTAGAGAAGTGATGAACATAATAAGGTAATGGTACATGGACAAGCATGGTCTGCAGGATCACAGGGACTGTGCCCCCCCCCCCCCCCCCCCCCTCCAATTCACCTCCCTTGACAAACAAAACAATGTGGGAAACTTTTTATCTCTTGGTCATGCAAAAATACAGCATGTGTCATTGTAAATAGAATTAATACATATTAATACATTGAACACAATGAATGATATATACAATATGAAACATTGTCTTTAGTTAAGTTACAGATATACAAGTATCTTAATACACCACATCTGCCGCATATACCTAATTTCTACTTCAGCCAACATGCTGAGAACATGCGTGTTTTGTTAAGTCTCCACAATTCAGTATCATGGCCAAAAATATGCTTCACTTTGGGGTGCAATAACATTTTTGAATGTTTACAATTGTGGCAAAAATTTATATTCTACCTCAGCTGACTCTCATAATGCCTTCTTCTGGACCTCAACATCTGAAGTAATTCATCCTCAGGAAATTCGCTGTCATCAGTTGACAACTCCACACTGATTTCTGAAATAAAAGATGGATTCCAGTATCAGATGCTGCTGCAAAGTTTACAAATAAAATAGGTTAACTCAGACAGTCATAGACAGAAACATTCAGCAAATGGGGGAAAACAAAATGTGACTCGAGGTAAAGATGCGAAACATTTCAGTTGTGTTAGAGGTGACTGTGTGTGTGTCCCCTTACCTTCCTCAGACTGCTCTGCTGGGCATGCCCCAGAACTGGAACTGCTGGCTGTGGAATTGTGAAACAAATGGTCACTGACAGCCTGCAAGTTAATGCCAAATTGTAAAGCAGAGTTATTCATCAGGTTACTGGCATCGCATTCATAACAAGTAAAAACAAAAGGTGCTTGTCAAACACAGATGCCCCCCAGCAGGGCAAACCTTTTTCTATTTATTGGTTAGACAATGCTTTTGTGTTGAATGTCGCTGTGATCTTGACCTTTGACCCAATGACCTCAAGATAAATAGAGGTCATCTACACCTGATGAAGTCCTTTCATGTTGATATTAGGTTAAAAACCTGGCAGTCTACTGCACCTTGAGGTAATATGTATTCATCTACTGCAATCATAAAAAGAAAGAATTACTTTGATGTGAAAGTGGTATCACCTTTCCAATGGCTGACTGCAAAACATCAACTTTGGTCCTGTGTCTGGGACTGCTGGCTAGTGTTGGGTGTGGCATACCATTCTTTTTCATTGACCTAGAACACTGTGATCTACCTATACTGTTGGCACTTCTGCTTATCTCCTTATATCTGGTACTTTTAACGGGTTCATTTTTCAAGTTTTTATTGACATAATTTTCTTTTAAAGTGTAGTTTTTTTCCTTTAAATGTTTTTTTTTAGTTTGCTTGCCATATTTTTCATTACAAGGTTTGTCAGTCATATTTCCATGTAACAGTGGAGGCAGATAAGTATCAGTTTCTGTCTTGGATTGCTTTTCCTTTTGGACATTATCACTTTCATCAAAGTATTTTTTGAGATTCCTACTCCTGCCTTTACATTTTCTATTTGCAGCAGAGGAAGTACAATTACGTGTTATTTCACTGTCACTCAAATGAGACTCAATTTCCCTTTCTGGTTGCTCTTGACTAGATATCTGGGAGCTGCTGACATCTTCAGGGCATATTTTAGGACTGTGTGGACAAGGCAGAATATCACAGAGCAGATGGAAGTGGGGTGACACACCTCCCCTGTCACATTGCTTCCTCTGCACACTTGGGCTGGCAATAGGGCTAGAGGGGGCAGAATGGGCATGACTAGCCCTAGGGGTTCCTTCTTGTCTCTGGGGTGCGGCTGATAAACCTTGGTGTGCTCTTTTAGGGCTGGATGGGGCGGACCTTGACCTTGGGCTCTCTGGTTCTGTCCCACACGATTTGTCTGCCTGAAGATAAAAACAGCTTCAAGTTGGCACATAGTTCAAGATTTTATTAAGAAAGGCATGCACTGAAACAAATAACCACTGAAAGGTTTTTACAGACAGGGTTAGACAAAAACTAAATCACTGCATTTGTTTTGGATAACAGATAAATAGCTTTTGAAATGCAAGTTTTTACTCGGTGTTCCAAGAGTTCTGGCCCTGTGACCTGCTAGTCTAACATTACCATACCCTTGCTCTGTGTTCCAGAGTTCTGGCCCTGTGACCTGCTAGTCTTACGTTACCATTTCCTGCTCTGTGTTCCACAGTTCTAGCCCTGTGGCCTGCTAGTCTAACATTACCACACCCTTGCTCTGTGTTCCAGAGTTCTGGCCCTGGGACCTGCTGGTCTGCACCATAGTTAATTACCCCTTTACAGCTTTTAGTAGGCGGGACAGACACTTAAGCCGGCTAAGCTGACAGTAATCTAGTGAGACTCCCCACAGGGATAGATAGATCTAAAATCTATGGGAATGGGGTCTAACCTTAACATTTCCTTGCTCTGTGTTGCACAGTTCTGGCCCTTTGGTCTGCTAGTCTAACCTTACTATTTCCTTGCTATGTGTTCCAGAATTCTGATCCTGCAGCCTGCTAGTCTAACCTTACCATTTCCTTGCTCTGTGTTCCACAGTTCTGGCCCTGAGGCCTGCTAGTCTAAACCTACCATTTCCTTGCTCCGTGTTCCAGAGTTCTGGCCCTGTGACCTAACATTACCATTTCCTTGCTCTGTGTTCCACAGTTCTGGCCCTGAGGCCTGCTAGTCTAAACCTACCATTTCCTTGCTCCGTGTTCCAGAGTTCTGGCCCTGTGACCTAACATTACCATTTCCTTGCACTGTGTTCCAGTGTTCTGGCCCTGTTGCCTGCTAGTCCAACCTTACCTTTTCCTTGCTCTCTGTTCCAGAGCTCTGGCCCTGTTGCTTGCCAGTCCCTGCTCCAGTACACTCCTGTACTCTGTCTGACACTGCAAGCTTCTTTCTGAACTCTGCCAGTTTGTTTTCAATCTCTGAGGACTAAAAGGAAAATAGAAATAAACATCTGTATTAAAATGCACTATATGTGCTTTGGGGCCTAGAAGAGGGGAGGGAGGGTCTTTTTCAATATAATGATGAAATAGTAAATTCTTCATCATTTAAACATTTTCTAAGAAATTGATAATGTGTTAAAAGTTGGCAGTGGAAGGGGCAAGGTTACATAGTGGTTGGTGTAACATAACAGACACTGAATCTTGGCCTAGTAGGCACAAAGTAACACGGAATAAAATCCACACACCTCATATCCCTGTCCAGTAGGTGGCATACCATGTCCTTGTCGTATGCGTTCCTGCATCTGGTCCAGCCTGCGCCGTGCCCTCCACTGCTGCAGAATGTCCTGGTCAGTGCCTGGTAGGAGTTGCTGGATGGGTCCTGGCATAGGGGGTGGGGGCTGTGGTGGGACACGATCTGTGGCCATATTTAAAATCAAGATGTTAACATGAATCTGTGAGTTTGCTTTAAGTATGCTGTAAGGGTTTATTATCATCCAGATACCAAAAATGAGATTTTTCCTGCATCTTATTAGTCAGTAATGCATCTAACTTTGAGCCAATTAAAAACAATAAAAAACCTTAAAAATATAAAATATCACCTTTATATTTATTGTTGCATGTTTATATTTATTTGTTGCTATGTATGAGTACAGGCAACTCAAAGTTTTTGTCGTCATTTTAACACCCTTCTATTTTGAAGTGAGATAGCAATCAGTATGGGGCATATCTTCATCCCCAAACATGATTTTAACACGAATATTGGCATAGTTGTCTAAAAGTGTATGAGTGTATGTCCAAAAGTGTATGAGCTTTAAATCTGTCATTTTGGTTTAAACATTTTTGTTATGTAGATATGAGTCCATAATTACAAATTTTCTTTAAACAAATGTATTCATCTGCTTTATCAACAATACAACATTAAAATCTGTATTAAAATGGTTTTCATGGGTGCTCAGGTTAAGGAGAAACTGAGAAACAGATTTTTCCATTTTTACCTCAACAATTATGACCTCACTCATTAGATGACACATGTAAATGTCACATAAATTAGGCACTAAACACTAAAAATTTATCTCTTACCCAAAAGAAAGATGTAAAGCAGTAAATGAAATGTTTTTGGCAGACACTTTCAGTATCCTTAAACTTATTTTTTAGTTAACAGGGTTTAAGTGTTATATCAGAGCAGCAACAAACATTGATAATGCTGCCTCTGGTTAAAAGCAATATTTTCAATATAATTCTAAACATTTACTTTGTAAACATTAGAGAAGGTTTGCAACAAAACCATATTTTTTCTAAATTTTGGATATAATTTCTAACATTATTTCGTGCTGTTACAAAAGAGGTCATGAAACTTAATGATTTATGTAATGGAATTATGTTAAAATTAAGTTACAATCAACATAAAAAATAACATCTATCTGGGGTAGCACTAGAATTATTTTTCACTAAGCCAAATCACCACATTTTTGTCAATTTGATATCAAAATGGTTATAATTTGGCTAAAACATGTCAAATCAAGCCCTCTTTCTTTGGCTAAATTGGCGAGTGTTAGCGCTACCCCAGTCTATAAAACTTCATGGCTAATTTGTGCTTTGAACACAAAGCTACAGAACAGCAACTGAAATATATGAACCAACCAACAACTACATAGTCAAAATTGGCATTTGTCATTCATGATGCCAATATGAAAGATCTTATATCCTTACAATGAAAACCATGTACATATCAACAGAGTATTTGTTTGGCACTGACCTCTAGCAAACTGTGGTCTGTACATAGGTTCATCAAAACTACTGATGGAGGGAGAACTGCCCAGTCCCACTGTGCTGACTATAGCATCACTAGAACTGGCACTGGAAATATAAAACAAGACTATGACATCACTAGAACTGGCATTGGAAATATAAAACAAGACTATAACATCACTAGAACTGGCACTGGAAATAGAAAACAAGACTATGACATCACTAGAACTGGCACTGGAAATATAAAACAAGACTACAACATCACTAGAACTGGCATTGGAAATATAAAACAAGACTATAGCATCACTAGAAGTGGCACTGGAAATATAAAACAAGACTATAGCATCACTAGAAGTGGCACTGGAAATATAAAACAAGACTATAGCATCACTAGAAGTGGCACTAGAAATATAAAACAAGACTATAGCATCACTAGAAATGGCACTGGAAATATAAAACAAGACTATAACATCACTAGAACTGGCATTGGAAATAGAAAACAAGATGATAACATCACTAGAACTGGCACTATATGTCTGAAAGGTTGTTCCTTTTAGGAATTTTCCTGCTATCTTCATCAATTTTTGAGTAAATACAAGTGCTAATGATTACCTTGCTGTTTTGGAAATCAGGTAGATATATTACTTTCATTTCCATGAGAGAAGCAATCAATTTCCAGCAAAGAGAGTACATGTTATTCTATTTTTTAGGAAAAAAGAGCATGCCTTTAAGGCATTCATAAAATTTACAAAGTTTATACAATATAACCGTTTACAACAACTTTAAAACCACAAACAGTCCCCTCATATTTTCCTAAAAGCCACACAAAAAGAAGTTGGTTAAAACTGGATCTGTATGTATCAGCATGGTTACATTGCAGAAATATATGTGCATGTGTCTGAAAAATAAGCTTCATGCTTGATAATTAACCAGTTTGAAAAAATCTCAAAAGTCAATGAAACGTGACAAAATGACCAGCACTTATTTACCATTGTGGTACTATCAAATTTGTGAATAAAATGAGAAAAAATCACATTTATGGAAACGTGTACCTGTTGCCTCCACCACTGTTAAGTGTATGAACCAGGCAACTGTTTGGCTTAGTCTCCACAGGCATAATCTGGGGTGTTACTAAAAATAACCTTGTCACACAAGCTTATCCTATAGCTATAATGCTATGCCCATTAAAAACCTTATGTTGAAAAAAACTAAATAAAAGCAAAGTTTGCCTGCTGACAATGTTTGCAAAAGACATTGATTGCTCACCAATTTATCAATTTTGTCAAGCATAACTGTACGTTTCATAAAAATAATTTCGAAATGCACCATACAGAAAAAATTTGAATCATAAACATTAAGCAACAACTACAGTGTCAACACCAACATTATAAAAATCGAGAACTGCACATTTGTCATTTGGAATCAACTACCCAGTCTGCTGAGAAATAAAAATTGTCATATGACAGACATGTGACACTAAGTCTATGACCTACTTTTCTTATCTAGGTCAAAGTAGCATATACAAGGTGGTTGTGGGTGGTAATCTATACCCTATCTGTAGCACTACTGCCTGACTAAAAGTAAAATAGTTTGTAATTTATGTTAAGTAACATTTTTTGTATATGATTGGAATTCTTAAGGGTAAACTGACCCCAGTAACTGATAGCTACACAGATAAATACAGGCAGCAGGTGAAGACATATAAGGTAGGCTACATGAAGCAATGAACTATCCCTAGTTTCTGCCTAGGTGAATGTTATCTTTAGTGGCCTGGGTGAGAAGTGGTGACTTATGCTATTTGTTTCATTTGCTTTGTCAAAGTTATTTCAGCAACATTTATCATGAATACAGCCAGGTTAACAACCACATGTATTATACTAAGAACAGACATTGCTCTGTCAAGCAAAGTGAGTTCTCCCAAATACTGATAAAATGTGATGTCATGCCTTAGACTATGTGGAAAATGAAAACTGATGAAGATCCTTTCTGAAGGTGGAAAATGTATCTTCCCTAGAGTACCACTCTCAGTCTGTGACTACAGCCATGAGTACAGCACCACATCCCGAGTACCAGCACATGGTGCTGAAAGCAGATGATCAGCAGGGTACATACGTCAGTCTGACACTACCTGGGATAGCATACGGGGACTTTGACAGACACAGTAAGGAGCTGTTTATTTATACTGTACTACATGTACACCCCTCCTCCTCTGCTTACAAAGTCATGGTTTATAAATTAATGAAAGTCAATGTACATGCTGAAGGTGGCATTTAAAAAAAAAAATCTTAGATAAGTTCAATACCCATTACAGTCTAGGCATTCATGAATGAAGTTAGAAGATAAATGGACCAAGTACTGTAGAAGCTGTTCACTAGACCTTTCTATCAAAATAATAGTAACATGCTAGAACTAATACTCCTGTACAAATATTGCCAGATTTTCTCCCATATTGTTTGTGCTTGCAAGTACTTCTAGCTACACGATACACTGTTCAACTCTCAGTTATTTCACCTTTACAGGGCAGCTATCTCTGGAGAAGATCTCCAAGCTGTTTGAGTCTGCTCGTGTGTTAGCCTGGCAGAAAAAAGACTTCATCAACTGGCAGGACATTAGGAAGAGGCACAACTTGGGTCTGTTTTTGCTTGGAATAAACTATGATATCTCTCCTAAGCTGTACAGGCAGTTTCCTGTGGGGATAGCCCAGCCTCTGGAGTGTCGCACTGGGTAAGATACCATGAACTATAACAGAACTCTATTCACAAGTATACCCACTATCATAAATGACTATGTTTCCTATCTTTGGAAGATGCTTCTCAGCAAGTACTAGTAAAACATTTATTAATAGGCACATCATATATCAGTTGACAGAAAGTACTTTTATATAACTTGTAACCTATTGATTGATAATCAACTGATGAAATGAAGGAAAAGTTATTGTATTTTAACAATTACTTTAGTGATGGCTTAAAATGATTGAACTTTTTATAAATTATCTAAAATGTAATGTGTTTTTAACATCAAAATGCCCCAAAATCCCTGGTAATCTTTTCCATTTCAGCCTGGACAGTGTGGGAGGGAAGTCCTTAGTTCTGAGGTCTACTTGTTTAGATGCCCAAACTAACCAGGTGCTAGCCGAGGCCAAACTGGTGATGGTGTCTGTCAACCTGACCACCAGAAAGAGTGTTGCACTTCCAAAGGAGGAGTTCAGCCACCTGAGCTGGAGTCAACAAAGCACAAGCAAGCTAACCATGCTGAAACCTGCCAAAACACCACCTGACGCCTTTCATAAAGAAATTATAGTTGTCCCCAGCAACATAGATCACAACGGACATGTTAACCAGTCTATCTATGTTCGTTTTTGCACTGATGTGGCTGTCCTTGCTCAGCGCGCGCAGAAGCTTAAGTACAAGTTTACAAAATATATAGATGAATATAAAGTTAAAAGTATGCAGTGTCTGTATTTAAGTGAAAGTGATTTAGATGATAAACTTGTGGTGTATGTATGGGATGAATCAAATTCTGGAAATGTCCATTTCGACATTGAAAATAATACAAAGGGGAAACGTTCATTTCACTGCTGCATGGAGTTTTACAGTGCTGATAAAGCAAAACTTTGAAACTATTTCCATATCTGATAGGTATTTCTGATGAGAGACATAACAGTTTTCATCCAAGACATCCCAGCCTTATGACTTAGCATTAACTCAAGTCAACCTGTAAGGATATATGGCAGAATAGCAAGTGTGGTGCAGCAAAAAAAACCGGCAGAATTTATCTACCAACATTTTCCTGTTCTCCCCCCCCTCCCCCCCTTTAATTTCTGTTGAACTAGATCCCATTCCCACAGATTTTAGATCTATCCCTGTGGGGAGTCTCACTAGATTACTGTCAGCTTAGCTGGCTTAAGCGTCTGTCCTGCCTACTAAAAGCTGTAAGGGGGTAATTAACTACCGTGCGCACTCAGCTAACATCAATTTAGCGTGAACCCCAAGGGAGTTATGTCGATCCAGATGGGTTGATCTAAATCTCTGGGAATGTACTCTTAGACCCCATTCCCAGAGATAAGATCGATCCAACTAGATCGACTTAACTCCCTGGGGGTTCACGCTAAATAGCTGTCAGCCGAGCGGGCACGAAAGTTAATTACCCCCTCACAGCTTGTAGTAGGCAGGACGGACATTTAAGCCGGATTATCTGACAGTAATCTAGTGAGACTCTCCACGGGGATAGATCGATCTAAAATCTATGGGAATGCGCCCTAAGTCTCTTTCACAATGGTAGGAGATCAAGATGTTTTGGGTATCATTTCCATTTTGCTTTTTACAAGATACAAGTTTATTCTCATGGACTGGTTGACAGTATAGAGAAAGATAACAACTGACACAGCAGCTAACACTAGTGGGCTTGATTTGGTCTGAAAGTGCAATTTAAGTTCACAAATAGTCTTACATGATCTTAAACCATGAGTAAGGCCATTTCTGGTCTGACAGCCAATTAAGTTGTCTCCCCTTACACATTCTTCTATTGTGAGCAGAGGTGTCCTCTATTGTTAGGGGAGGCATCCCCCATTGTGAGGGGAGGAAACTGCTTGACCACATAAGTAGATGTTAGATCATTTTTGATCTTAAAAGCAGATTCAGTCCATTTTAAGACTACTGCTGTAATAATTAAGATCGTGTAAGATCACTTTTGAACTTAAATTGCTCTTTAAGACCAAATCCAGCCCACTAGTGTAACATGTGTATGTTTATGCCAGCGAGCCTTACCTGACGTGTCAACAATTATTTCAATCAATTTTCCTTAATTTGAGAGTAAAATTTTATTTTCAGATTTGAAATGTTGCTCATATTTTTAAAGTATTGTATAGTTAAAATGGATACTGATAAAGTATCTTGGTAGTCATTTGTTTCTATCATACTTCCTTACAACTGAGTGAATATTGTGAGTCATCTAGTAAAATAAGAATAATAAATATAAATAATGCTGTTCTAACACAAGTCTATTCAAAGCAAATGGCTGAAACTTTGGGACATATATTGTAAAAACTTCAGCAAGTTTTAGAAAAAGCATGGGTCATTGCTAAAATAAGTAAATAATACAGAGTCAACAGTTCACTTTGAGTGTTTTCTTTTTGTTAATGTCTTGGGTTGTCCTGCATAGAGTAGATACATGAGAGCTTTGCAATTAGACAACTGAAATTGCTTCAACTCATCAGTCTAATATACAAGTACATAACATGATGAAACACAAATCAACAGTTGAAAAAAAAAACTTTATAGATTTCATGTGATTGGACTTTTCAATGTTAGGATCATGTGAAATGGATTTTAATCAATGAACATTATTTGCTTCACATACATAACATAAGCCAGGTATAACTAGTATGCTGACAGTCCAATTTAACCTGCATAAAAAAATTGTGGGACTTGACAGTTTTTAACCTACCAAGCTCTGCACAAAACTGGATTTTTAAAATAATGGCAAGTAGCTTTAGACTGTGGATCAGGTAAAAGAGGCAAAATCATCTTAAATAGCACTATTCATGAAGTTAACTAACACAAGCCTCAAGTCATGGTTAAAACAGTATCATGGAAGATTTCATTCTTTTTTACAGTTTGTTGATAATCAAATTTTTGGTTATCTCAATATTAATAAGTATTTTTAAATTGATACTTCCAAATACTAAAGCAGTATTACATGTTAGAAAAAAATTTAACATGCAGCCAAACCGTGGTTAAACATAAAAAAAGTCTCAGCTCGTTAATCAACATATGAATTTTGTTTAGTCTACGTAATATAAACGAGTTAGGCCTTATATTCCCCATCATTATTTTACTAACATTAAAACAAGACTAATGAATGGACACTTATCATCTCAAATCTTTTGAAATTATGCAGTGAGGCCACTTTTTTAGTAACCTGCGTCATATACCCATTCCAAAAAAAAAAACAATAATAATAATAACATCACCTGTTGGAGATACGAAATGTTCAAAGACTGAAGAAATAATAAAAATTTAATGCACTTCCATCAATGTCTGGTTGTCCTTAGTAGTCAATTTCTAGCATCAGCTTTTCATAATTAATGTCATATAACAGGTATAGTTTAAAATATTAGTTTCTCCTTCAGTGGAAGGGGGGATCTGAAAACCCTCCTAGGTTAAATAAATCTGTTAAAAACCAAACTCTTTTTTTCAACCAAATATTCCATGAAATAAAAAATAGTCTTGTCTCAATATAAAATGCAAAATTCCTCTGAAAAAAAATCATGATTTAGCTTAAATTGTAACTTGGAATTGCACCATCCCAATTAGAATGGTTTTTCAATCCAACAGTAAAAAGAAGCTTCACTTTCCAAATGCAACAAGTAGGCATAAGATCAAGCCATAATATCAGAGGTTCACAAGTCTGCCAACAGATGGCACTGCAGAGGGATAACACTAAAAGGGGTCAAGGTCACTTTAGCAGCCTGCCAAAGAAATGTTATGGCTATATTGCTAAGGCAGAGATGTGCTAGAAGTGTGCCTCATTTATGCACAATGAGTTTGTAAGTTGGTCTGTACATTCTCCAAGATTATCACCATTAGTTTGACTAGATGGTATGTCAGTGCACTAGATAACATACAGGTGCTAAGAGTAAGATGCACTAAGGGGAAAAAGTTTTCAACTGTCTCATTTACTGTCCATAAGTAACTGTTCATAAATTTCAACACTACCCTTGTTTTGTCAAATCCACCTAGTTTTCTTCCTTCTGCAGCTTCTTATTATGTATACAATAATAACATCACAAAATTATCTTCTCTTTATATTTTATATCCAGAACTTACAGATCCATTGCTGTTATTTGTATGTTTTGGATGTAGGTCAGGAAAGCATGTAGATGACCACATGTATGACACACCCCTGCTGTCCAGTATCCAGCTGAAGAATGACCACAAAGGGCTAGTGGCTTCTGTAGTACTGCCTGGACTAGACTTTGGATCAATCAATAAAAGAACAAGTACGTGTGCATGATAGTACATGTGTTTATCTATGTGAGAGAGAGAGAGAGAGAGACGTGGCAGGTTTTAGAACACACCATCCTAAAAAATTAAGGTTTATATATATATATATATATATATAACTAACTTTCATATTGTTCATAATCATATAATTCTTTGGAATGGTGAATTGACTTTCAATCTTTTACACAATTGTAGACTTCTTTTTGAAACTGTTACACAAATTATTTTATGATATTTTTTCGAGAAATAGTAATTCATCTAGTAAATGTTTACATTGTGGTAATAAGCATATATATATATATATATATATATATATATATATGGAATACTATTGTACATATTCCAGAGTTTATGTCCCTATTTTCTATGAGTAACAACTTTGAACTAGCAAGAATGCAGTCGATGCAGGCAGCCAACTTTATAGAGATAGGAAAAATGCTGAAAGAGAATAATCTTCTACAGTTCTTAATTGCTGGCCAGTATTACTTCTCTCCTGGATTCTTTATACCATTTCCTAGAAACATAGAGCAGCCCGTTTTATATCAGCACAGGTATGTATGTATATATATATATATATATATATATGCTGCTGATAAAAGCACAATTTGTTTTCTATAAAACCAAGCTGAAAAATATTGTCAAATGTCACCGTGCCATATTTTTACCACACATTTTTCTATATATGATGTACATTTTGATTTTCTGTCTTTGCTTTACAGAGTGCACCACTTGGGGAAATCTTCCTACAGTTTATCAGGTCTGTGCAAGCTGCCAAATAGTGATGAAAGCATTGCAGAGATTGTCTGTTCAGTTGTGACTGTAGATAAATATACTCGCAAAAGCAGCCCTCTCCCGGATTGGTTCAGGACTCGTTTCCATGACAACACTAAAGTTCCCCACCCAACTACCCTGAACCCATTGAAAAGTATTCCAGCTGAGGCATTTTGTCATGATTTAACTGTAAGACCTAGTGATACTGATGAAAATGGACATACAAATCAGGCTGTTTATATCAAATACTGCAGCAATACTAAATACTTGGCTGCCACGTCCAACCTTCTGCCACCAAACTATATTGACAATGATCACAAGGTGAAGGTCATTGACACCCTGTATACCAGAGAGAGTTCAACTGGAGACAAGCTCAAGTGTTATGTGTGGCAGGGAAAACCCATGGTGCTGCACTTTCAGGTCCACAAAGATTCCGAGCCAATATTCCACGCTAATATGGAGTTTGATGGAACTGTGACATCTAATCTGTGAACTTAAGCAAGTCTACTAAAATTATGTATCAGTTATTATAGTGAAACACAATGCAGCCATGTTGCAACCAAAGCACAAGACTTCAGGGTCAGTCATGATTCATAAGAAGTCTATGCAAATACATGAATTCTGTGAACCTGTGACGTCAAGTTTTTAAACTATTTGTTATATTTTAGAACTCATTTTTATCACTGAATAGTAAACAACAAATGTATATATTTCTTTAAAAGTCAAGTTGTCAAAGTAATGATGACAATGAATTCAAAGAATCTGTGAAGTGAAGTCTGCACTCTAAATATGATAACACTAAATATAGACCTGCTTTTTATTAACAGAAGTGCAAAAGGCCCCTGTTTAGGAAGGGCTATCACTACCCTCATTACAATTAAATAGTGCATAGGATGTAATGTTTCTATTACAACTAATTTCTACAAGCTTCAAGTGTGGTTTGGTTTGGCCCATCCAAACAGATCTGACAACCTGACACACAGGTGTGCCTGTCAATGTTGAAGTCAGTGAGTGTTAAACATAGCATTAAATGCTGCTATAACCCTGCTCATTTACATGTACTACATGGAGATAACTGATGTAATTTACTTGCATAAATAAATTAGTAACAGTGCTGAGAGGCTGCCTTTTTGTCTTTAGTTTTTGAAGTGAGCTGCCATTAGATCATGTATTCCTTACTCCCTAATATGGCAAGAAAAAGAGACAAGAAACATATCCAGATTCACATCACAGTCTATTTCTTTTTGTCAAGAATTGCCACTTAAAGACAAAGACTGGGTTCTCATACCTAGATCACTCTAACAGGATCGATCCATTTCAGAGGGGTTTCTTGCTAAATTGCTTTCAGCTTAAGCGGCTTAGATGTCTGGCCTATTGAAGCTGCTAAACGATAATTAATTATCCCCTAGCAGCTTTAATAGGAGTGACATCTATACCCCTTAAGTTGATTGCGATTAAGGAAGAATCCTCTTGGGGTCTGGGAAGCACTTTGCACGCTTTTGAATATTCCCCATAGTTGTATTTTTATCCCGAAAAGCTTCTTACATTTCCTAATTCAGACCTTATAGACAATAACATCCCTAAAATGTTTATCTAAAGTGTACTGCAGCACCCACTCTACATCAACATTGCCACCATTGTTATCCTATTCCAGGCAACACCCACTTGTTTCCTCTTACCTCCTTTCCAATAACCGGTCAGTTTTTTCTTGCAGCATTTTAATGGACTCTTCCTCTTCCTGGAACCACTGTGGCCTCAATGTGTTCTGAAATCACATTTACCAGTACTTACATCACAACAATTATGTTGCAAACTATGTCCCATAATTTTATTATTCATAAAACAAGCCAGACAGAACATAAATTGCAGAGTATGACATTAAAAAAAACAAAAAACACTGCAACTTTTGCTAGGACTATTAGTTAAATTAAATGATATTTTGTAGAAATTTATAGTATCTAAAACACCACAGCTCTGTTATATTTTACTGCTCACTATACGATCTAGAAATGTTCATTATACCAATCTCTAAGTAATGTTTCGTCAGAAATGTTTTGGCTATCTGACTACAGTAAAAATGATTTATTAATGCTGAGCCAAGCTATTGATATCTGCATGCTTACCCACTGACCTACCAGCACTAAGAACAAAGCACATTTCTTTGTTTGCTTTAGCCAAGAACAAGTAAAAGGACTAAGACCCCATTCCCAGAGTTTAGATCGATCTACTTTAGATCGACCTAACTCCTAAATAGCTGTCAGCCAAGCGGGCACGAAAGTTAATTACCCCCTTACAGCTTGTAGTAGGCGGGACGGACATTTAAGCCGGATTATCTGACAGTAATCTAGTGAGACTCCCCGCTGGGACAGATCGATCTAAAAGCTCTGGGAATATGCCCTAAGTAAACTTTAAGGATATTATCAGCCTTTGCCAGAAACTGATTATTTACTGCCTTTCATTCTTTTGGATAACAGATAAATCTTCAGTGTTCAGTGACTTAATTAACATTGACACACATCATCTTATGAGTGATGTCATACTTGCAATTTTGAGATAAAAGTTTAAAAAAATGCTTTCTATAATTTCTCCTTTACCTTACTCTTAGCACCCAAAAATACATTTTAATGCCGGCTTAATGACAACATTTGGTACTGTCGAACCCTGCCAGCGATTTTTCTTAAAAGCCTGACTAGTGCGTTAGTTCAGATTTTATCAATGATAAAGCAAAATGATCCTTTTGTTTAATGAAAATCTGTAATCAGGAGCACGTAACTCCATAACAAAAGCATTAAAGCCAAAATGATAGCACAAGATTGTAGTCCATTGCCAATTTCCGTGATAAAATCTTTTTCAAGGATGAAGTTATGCCCCATATCAATTTCTCTCTCACTTTAGATATGAAAGGTGTTAAATTGATAATGAAAGCTTTGAATTGCCTATGCTTATACGTTGCAACAAGAAATATAAATGCTGATATTTTATATTTTCGAGGGGATTTTTATTGTTTTTTAAAATCAACACAAAGACAGATGCATTATTGAATAATTAGACGCAGGAGAAACCTCATTTTCTGTATCTGAATGATAATAAAGGCTTACAATACCCTTGAGAGACATCTACAACTTTTGGTATATGAAACTGTATTAAGATCATAACTTTTTCTAATTCCCTGTTCATGCTACACAAAAGGAAAATTATGTTTCAAATAAAATCAGACAAAAAAAATAACAGTATGGACAGTCAAATAAGTGGCACCATTTCTTGTACGCACAAATTTTCTGTACAGGGCATGTGTGATTGTTCAAACAGGAAGTGGCAGCTGAATTTTCAGCTTGGGATTCAGTTTCACTTTGCTGTGTGTGTGAAAAGGGAAACCAATCAAACTTTTCGCCTGAAATTCTAATTAAAATATTTTCATTATCTTAAAAATAAACCTGTGTTTCCTGTTTTCCCTTCTTGTAATTTATCACTATAATTGTAAGGTTTCTAAATCTTCCTCACAAACACCAAAACAACTGTCATACATACCACAGATGCAGACAACTTTTCTGCTACATATGGTCTGCTAGTGCCTGACCATGGCCTTGAACCTTCTCTTTTTACTGGTGAAACCGGGCGTCGCCTCACTGTTTTATTTCCTCCCAGGGGTTCACCAGAATCTCTGGGGGTGGAGCTACTGCTTGGGTCTGGGGTTAGTGCAGAAGAAGACAGCCACCAGAAGTCATTAGGGTCTGTTAGTTTTTTACTCTTTCTTTCCTCTTTGCTGAGAGGTTTGCCATGACGAAAACGATCAATGTATCTATGACAGGAAAAGGTCAAATACATTACAGATAGAAAATAGCAATTTAAACATTTTTCTAATCATGAGAACTGAAAATCATGCTAGGCAAAGATGTTTCTGAAAAGAATTAACATATTTAAATTTGAATTGGATATTGTTTCATTCTAAATATTTTTAAATCAAAATGTAAGCATTCCAACACTATATGTCTTAATACAGTACATATGCAACAAAGGTCCAGTTTATCTACTTACTGTTATAACAAATAAATTATTTAATTCATTCAATTCATTAAAAAAACATCAGTATAAAACACATCTCTAATTATCATATATGGCAACACAAATTACAATCAATCATTGCCAATGTTCATAAAAGGTTACCTCTGCAAGGTTGTTCTTGGCTGTGTGGGTTCTGCTGACTGCCTACCACCTACTAGTACTGTTGGTCTTAATGAAGGAGTTGATGTTTCTGATACTGGGCTGATGTACTCTGGAATACTAGAAATGAAATGGTATAATTAATTAATAATATAATACAATATCACAAATCTCAGTGGATGCACAATAGGACTTAAGGGTTCAAGAAAACTTGAGAGGCTCCTTATTGTATACTCTTCAAGTGAAGAAACCAATGCAAGCTGTTCAAATAATCCCATGTAAAAACAAAAGAAATTCACAATAAGATATACTCAGATTTAGCAACATTCAGAAAAATATAGTCTTTAAAAACACAGAGCTGTACAGGTTATATCTTAAGAGCAAACTCTACACAGCTACTTGTGCTTTTTTCACACTTAACTCTCACAGGTACATGTACCCCGAGGTTAATTTTTTTTCCAGAAAATGAAAAACAATCAAATGTTTCATTCAGTTTCATGTTAAATATTAAAATATTTTTCAACAGTTAAATCTCAGCTGAGATTTTGTTTTTACATGCAATTTTAAAATGCACTGCCAAAATTACATTACCCCTTAATTCATTATAACCAACAGCCATTTTATGTATCAATGCCTTATTTTCCAAGTTAATACTGTGAACATTTCACTTCTATTGGATTTACACTTATTTTGATCATCTGCTATCTTCTCTTGCACTCTTACTTACCTGACAGTAGATGGTCTCTCACTAGAAGGCCAGCTCTCATCAAACTTAGCTGAGCTATCATGTTTGCCAGATGTGTCCCGTGTAGGTGGGGTGTGCATAGAGAACTTATCACCTTCCTCCAGGAACTGCCAGCCAGAGGGGCTCATGGGGTGCTCACTTGTTGGCTGCTTCTGGGGACTTAACACCGACTGCTGAAATATATCACACAAGTATTAGTATTTTAATTTTTTAACACTTAGAGTTCAAATATATATTTTGACATTAGAGGACACAGGCATAATCTAAGGGTTTAGCTTAGCTTTCCAGCCCACAGGATGTTTGTTTAAAGAATTTCAAGTCTGAATGCAATTCCTACATAATCACTTGACTGCAGTGAGTCACTCTCATTTTTAAAAAATGGTGCATTTGATGTGCCAGATTTCTGCTGTGCATTCACCACTTACTCTAAGCCCATGACATGAAGATTGATCTCTGTTCAACAAATGCAAAATAACTAAATAAATAAATACACAGATAAAATCATTAAATTCAAATGATCATGTTTATACATATAACCCAATCATATACAGAGAAAATACATTTATCAGTAAAAACACTCGTAGTTCCATTTCTTTCTACCTCATTCTCTCCAGTACCTGTTTCTCTTCCTTGCTAAACTGTTTGTCTCTTGTGGGGTAATAATAAGCTCTGGGTAATGGAGGATCTGAGAACAAGTCATCACTGTAAAGAAACAACTCCCATGAGGATATGTTTTACTACATACATGCTTTCAGTAATTAAATATGAAAACAGAAATAAGAGATCAAACCGTGCCCTTTATTAAGTCATCCTCTCTTAATCTAACCAATCTCACTAAGCTATCTCTTTGCACATGCATGTGCTCTCTCTCTCTCTATTAGGATCGGCCAGAATGTACAAAAGTCTAGGGAGCAGTAAGGCTTTAGCGTTCCAATGCTGACCTCAGTGTTCACTGTGGAGTAATAGCACCAGTGCAAGATGTCTAAGTGCAGGCCAAGCAGTCAAGTGTTTCTTCAAAAAGTAAGAAAGGATAAAGTCCATGCTATCATGAAAGGCATGTGTTAGCACTTCTTTTGACTATATTTGATACATGCACTGAGCTTATGCATCAAAGCAAAGGCCTCAAAAAGTATAATAGTAAAATGACCGCGAGGGCTCTCAAATATTTATCTTCACTCTCATCTGCTCAAGTCACAGACTCCTAAAAAACCCACAGAGTCAAGAGTAAGGTAAATGTGTCGATGTGGTAGTAGAAGTTGTTCTAAGTCACGTTTTAACACATGTACAGTTCCTTAATCAGTTGTTGTGAAGCAGCACATAATATAAAAACAGGTAGAATCTAAAATTATGGGAGCTCTTTTTCTTTTTATGGCATTAAACAAATAACTAGCACCACCTATTATTGTCTGTGCTCCTTACAGGTATGGTTGAAAATCATTTTAGACATCGTTTGGTTCATTTTTTAAAAAAAATTCTTTTAGTGCAATTTGCAAACACAGTGTCACTAAAACATAAAATGATACCTGTACATGAATATCTTTTGATAAACTAGTAAATGGGATAGTGCAAAACTAGTACCCGCTGTCTAAATATACGTTTATCAAACATCGATAGGAATTGCAAAGAAAATTAACATTTAATTATAAAATGCCTTAGTTTGAATTTTAAAATGAAGCCTATGATTGACTCTTCATCTGACTTGCTGATTGACTTTACTTGGTCTTGAATTGCAGAGCGCAGATACGAAGTCCAGTCTGCTGCTATTTTTCATAATTTCACAGATATAAATGGAAAATTCACTTATCACCTTTTAGCTTTTGCCGTTAACCATACTGAATCCATTTTAGATAACTCTTTCAAAATATCTCCAAATCCAGTCTGTATGCAGTCATTGCTTCAGTTAGCTTTACTGAGTAAGCTTCAGGGATCGAAACTTCCGCCATTTACTTGAGTCGGAAACGAGACTAACTTTGAAACGAGGCAGCATCATGGCGACAGAGAAATCAAGTACGAAGCAGGCATCTAAAGGAAAAGCACTTTCACACGAACAGATAATAGCCGGCTTCAATGAATTGCGGCAACAACAGAGAGCAGTAGCTTCTAAGTTGTCGGAGTTAGACATGGAACGGAAGGAACACGAGTGAGTAACTTTTTGATACAAAGCGAACAACACGAGGCTCTTCTCTCCCACTACGAAGGCTACACTACTAGTACTACTAATATTAAAACATAAATGCATGAATCCTCCAGCACTATCATCCCATAGACATAGCTTTGTATGAATTCTGGTTTAAAATTTCTTAATCTTGAAAATATTTTTTGCTTTCTGTATAGTTTAATCATATAGTGTTTATAATGCATTGGAATAAAATAATATACATAGTGGCATCGCCAGGAGCATATACAGGGGCATACCCAGAATTATTTGAAGGGGGGATATCAATAGATGCAAAGCTGACCCTCCCCCCTCATTTTGGTATTTAAGAGGGCAAACAATGCCATTTGGTACCGTTTAAAACCATGATCCAGCTAGTCAAAATTCTAATTTCAAGAAGAGACCATTGGTGTAATTTTATTTCAGAAATCAAAGGGGGGTCAAGACTCCCCAGAGGCGGATCCATGATTATTTGAAGGGGGGGGGGGGTCCCTGGATGTGTAGCCAACCTCTCCTCCCTCCCCCTTTGCGTGGGATCAGGCTTGGTGAAGGGCCCTGAAAACTTTTAGTATTTTGGAAGGCGAACGGTGCCATTTGGTACAGTGTTGGACATAATAAGAGAAGGACATAAAATGCGGGGAAAGATCAACGGATAATCGGCTTAACGCGAGCTCTTCCCGAAACCATGTGTGGTCAGATCACATGACCTTCCTTACAGGTACTGAGCATATGGCAGTTGTCGATGACTTTTTGTGTCATTTGGGCAGGTAGTTCGCGATAACGTGAGTCAATCCTTCAATGGATGAGACAATAAACTTATAGAGATTAAGTATCAGTACAATTTCTATCAGTTTGGAAGCTATGTGAGAATTTGATATGTTTGTTCATGGAGGAATTTAAAATGCCCTATGTGATAAAGGCAATCTTGTTTGTTGCCGTAAAATGAGCATTCAAAATTGTACAATTGTAGTGTAGTATACTTGTTTTTAGCTATGATCCAATTGGAAAATATTTCTAGTGTCAAAATTTTCTCTATATGTGAGAAATTAGGCTGAGATTCAGCAATAATGAAACCTTCAATTGTGTCTTGAATTAAAATGATGCAATTTCTCTCTGATTTCTTAGGCTCGCTGACATTTCTTTTAGGCTGGTATTTTTTATGCACCCTTTAAATAAAGATGACATCAACACCGCTGTATACTTTGTATATAAATGTATATATCGTGCTACTTGCTAAAATATGCGTGATTTTTTGGATGATAATTTAATTATTTTACTCTCTATATTGGCTCTTGTTGCAATATGGCACCACATGCATTTGTGACACACAAAAACGCACCTGTAATGCCTTTTAATATTCCTTTATCAAAGTTTACATCAACACTTTTGTGAACTGTATTTATATATATGTTCATTTTACCGGCTAACGTCTTCTCGAATTTAGGGATGCTAATTAATATTTTTTTACCCTCCATATCGGTTCTCGTTGCAATATGGCAAAACACATACATTTGTGACACACAAAAATGCACCCAGGGTGCTTTGAATATCCTTTTATCAAAGTTGACATCAACACTTAAATGAACTGTAAATATATGTTCATTTAACCAGCTATTGGCTGCTCGAATTTGGGGATGTTAATTGATAATTTCTTTACTCTCAATATCGGCTTTCGTTGGAAAATGGCACCACACATGAATCAGCTGATACATTGCTCTAAAATCAGTTATATATCAGCTCAACATATATCAATACAATCTTGGAAACAATAACAAGTGTAGACAAACGCCAGAGCCCGTTTTAATGAGGTAACAGGAGTAGCATGGCTCCTTTTTATTCAAGCCCATTTTATTTTCTGTACTGAAGACTGACTGGATGATGACATTGATTCTGTACCAAATAGCACTGTAGAAAAATTGTCATGGTTTGCCAGAGGCATGCCTGTGTGCATGTAGAAAAAAATCAAGTCTGTGACCCTGGTAGAGGGTAGTTTCATACCAACTCTGAGCAACATCAAACTTGGCTTTCATTGTTTTTTGGGGGTATAGGACTTGTCTATTTAATGAATTTTGTTTAAATTTAAAACTGATTTTGGGTTTTGGTAAACTAGTATTCTACAGTTATTTTCTGTGGATTTTGTATTGATTATTAGATCAAACATTTCACCTAATATATTTGAACTATATTGGCTTCCCATATGACAGAGAATTGTTTTTAAATTACTGCAGCTGTTTGTTTTTAAATTCACCAGTCGAGAGGCAAATGCCCTTCATTTTTTAACTCTGTGCTACATCCAAGTTCAGCCAATCTCACCAGGTCCACCAAATCCTCCTCCACTCTTTGCTTTACCAGAAATGACAACAGAAAAACAACTAAAACCTATGGCCACAGGGCATCTTCAATTGCAGCAGCAATTTTATGGAATGAACTACCCTTACACATTCGGGCTATTGATAGTATTGAGGTTTTTAAAAAAGACTTGAAAGCATTCTTATTTGAACGGTACTTCAATTTAAATTTAATACTTGAAATTATATATTTTCTCATTTTATCAGAAAGAGTTTTATTGTTTAGACTATTAATTTTAAAACCAGCATTAATCATTTTTAAATTAATAGTGTGGTTTTTAAAAAATATTATTATTATTATTCTCAGCAGTAAAATATGACAGACATGAGTTTTTTCTGCAGAAAAGCAGAATTCTGTGTATTTTAATTCTGATGGTTCTTGAGATTCGTCAAGGTTAGGTGTTGAGTCCCCCCCCCCCCCCTTTTTTTTTAATCTAGGCTCATGTCTGATATTAGCTGTTTTTATAATTACAGTGTTTACTTTACAGCAAACCAACTCCAGCCTTATAATTAGCTACTGTATGTGAAAGTCATAATTTTGTGGTTGCTAGAAGCATGTGCATGGCACCATGTTGAATGGGCATTCTGTAAAGTTGCCTTTTCTCTTTTAAAGATGCATATGAAGTAAATTTTTGTCACAAAAGCCTACCAAATGCCAGCATATAATTTCAAGTAGTATAACTAAGAGAATTACCAAAAGGCACTTTTTAATTTTACCCGAAAAATGATATTTGAACGGATTTTTCTGCCAGCATTCTATGCTGTATATTAGTGGGACAGAAAAGTAGTTCACGAAAGCAGGTTAAATTTCTGACCAAAAATTTTAAGAAAGGAGCAGTCTAGAGCTCTTTTATGGCTGATTGAGTGATTTATTCAGTTTATCTTTTGGCATGCTGAATTTATTTGAGCTGTATAAGAAACTAGTAGAGGTGAATATGTGTTACTGGGAATCCACACTCCAACTATGCTCCGTTCATATGTACTTTTAACAGTTTTAAATACCGTTTAAAACAATATGGACAATAATATTTTACAATAAAAAGGTTTGAAAATGGGTATCTTTATTATTATTGACATATATTTTGAATACATTTGGAAAGCAATGCACACAAGTTGCACCAGCTTAAGCCTCCAGGCTTCATTAGATCTTGTACAGGTGTACCCAAGATGAATTGGTTCTGTTGTTGAGTATGTTTGTCCAGTTCAGCACCCTGAACTAACCACAGAGAAGTCAAAATTGGGAAAGATTAAGAGTTTTACAGGATATTTTGACATAGAATATATTACAAAATTTTCAGATGTGTACAGTGTACCTTATGGATTATCTTTCCAGGCTTACCATATGCCTTGTGTATAATCTTTCTTTGAGAAAATAAAGAATGAGTCTCAGAAAGATATACTCGACTATCACTCGACTATCATTTAATCACCAAATTCCAAAAAATTTAAAGAATAAACACTACATAATGCCAAATTTAAAAACAAGTCTGTTGACAACATGGTTTTCCTCTTATTTGAGAAAATTTTTATTTATTGCTTAAAAAATGAATCTTATTTTATATGTATTTCAGTGTTTATCCTCACTAACTGCTTTCATATTACTTCAACCTTTTCATTGCTCTGACTTGAATAAACTTCTTATAATTGTTGGTTCATCAAAAACTGATAAAAAAATCAATCTGAACAAGGAGATTTTAGAAATACCAAAGAATTGATTGCTATATTTTGATGTATTTATAAATTCATTCATATGTACTTTATAGGAGTTGATATTGATTACTATATGCTGTATTTTCCAGGCTTGTGGTTGAAGCTCTGAAGGACGTGGCCCCAGAGAGGAGGTGTTTTCGCATGGTGGGGGGAGTGTTGGTGGAGAGAACTGTCCAGGATGTTCTTCCAGCACTGACAGCTAATAAAGAACAGGTAAACACTTAGTGCAGGATCAAAGGCTGTGATTATCTTTGTCAGATACTATTACTAAGTTTTATTAGTTCTATTTCCTCCTTTTCCTCAAAAATTTACCTACTATAAAATAAAATCAACTAACTTAAGGCTTTCTGTTTGAAAATTCTCTCAATGCTTAATGATATTGCCTCTGTCATGGCAGAACTTAAATGGCTACCAGCTCAACAGGGAATTTACCAGCAGTTATTTCAGACTCACTCCTCTTATGCACACATATTTTTTCAGCTATCAATTTTGCTTCTTATTTATTTTTGTTTTTTATTTATAATTTACTTCTTTTTACAAGTTTTGATACAGTATTTATCCAAATAAGTTTTGGGTGAATGAAAGCCTTTTATGTGGCTCCAGTGCCATATTCATTAGCTAATTATGTGTCATAAAATATTTGGGGTCAATTTCAACAGGCCCCCCAAGTCTGGGAGGTTTTTGGCATGTCTGCATCAGTCTGGAAGGCTGTCATTCAGGACAATTCTGACACGGTGTTTGGACATGCATTTTTGTATTGAATGTGATATGTTTATCATAAATACTATTTTGTCAAATATATATATATAAATCATGTAAAGTGGTATTAAATGAAAATTTGTATAATGGCTAGCATCTGAAATATGACTATAATGTTTGAGATAGTTTGCTGTTATTTTTCATTTTTCAGATTGCCAAACTGATAGAAACCTTAACACATCAGTTAGAAGTGAAGGGGAAAGAAATAAACGAGTACCGCAGTAAATATAATCTTCATGTACGAGGAGAAGATGAGCAGAAACCTTCAGAAAAGACTGAAGCAAAAAGTAGTGGTGTTTTAGTGGCTGGAGATTCTTAGTGCATGTTAACATCAGAGACCATCAATGCCTCCTAGTGAGGTTTGAGAACAGCGTCCTGTCCTTTCATAGTCTGTTCCAGGAATAAGCAGTGGTCAGAATGCTGGAAATGGTTGAAGTTACTAAAGTGCAGCAAGTTGGTTCTTTGTTCTGACATTAACTGAAAAAAAATGTCATGAAGTCTACACTTACAGGGCATCAGTGGCATGCTCTTGGAAAAGAAATGATTTAAAAATGATAATGTCATGAAGAAATGGATCCTTGTGTTTCAGGGTCAAGATGGTCGTCTGTTTTCTGTTTAGGTAATTATCGTTTCATGATGGTTATTGAATTCTTGACAAGGAAAAATGCACTCATCTCAGTACATATGGTACATTTGGCGTGTTTTCTATGATAGAGTAGCAGGTATCTGAAAATTAACTGACTGCTTTTTAAAAGAACTAGACCTGAAGAAAGACACTGCCTTTTGTGAGGTAAAAAATGACAGGGTTTAGTGTACTGGATACGTGAATGGTTTGATTTTGTATAAGCTGTTTATGTAATAGTATATGTGGTAACCAGGTATGCAGTGTGTGAAATAAACAGTGTGAACTGCACCATGATGTAAATTGTACATGTTGACAAATGTTGCTCCACATTTCCCTGCCATCAGTTAACAGAACAAGAGTAAACATCTTTTAATATCTTGAACATAAATAATCATAACATACCAACAAAATACCTAGTCATGATTGCAGAGATATTTATGTATCAAAAGAATCGTAATTAATCAGCCAGGTTTTAATTCTCAACCAGAAGTTATTATTTAATATAGGACATAAATAATGAAATTATGCATCTGCTCTAATTATAATTATTTCTTGACAAGTCAGAATAGAACCAGCCTATTATGACCTTTTTCTTTAAGTACAATGTTACTGAGAAATGGCAAAATCAATCTATGCAAAAAATAATTAAAGTAACTTTGAAAAATGCCAATTATTTGGTTATTAACTATGGCTCCTCCACTAAAAGTCTGTCTCAACTCTGTGGAAAGTGAAGAAATTTCTCAAATCAAGCCAGAGCACTCCGAACAAGTCTTCATTGAATACTATCCAATGCATGGGAGTCAACCTCGGATCCTGGAAACCATGCCCAGCTATCTGAAGCTTTCCTAAGAATCTGGACAGAAAAAAAAAAATTCAGATGTAACATAATTCCAGCTACACAGCAAAGCTGGCAAATACATAGACACTTAAAAGACAAAATATGGTTTGGCAGTTATGTATTCAAAGTCACAAAAATACATGTGACAAAATAGATAAATTTCAAATTACTCGCACAAATCAACATGATTTTTAAACTCCACCTGCTCTTTTTCCCAAAATCAAAATGCTCTTACTAAGAAATTCAAAGTAAAATAAGAATATGGGTTGGCAGTTATGGTATTATCCAATGTGTCAGATATACCACAATGACAAGGACTGACATAAGTAGTCAGAATATACACAAACAATTAAATTTTAAGTGTCAATATAACATTTCCTCAGGTACTGACCTTGTTTAAACCAGTTTAACATTGTTTTTTGATTTTTTTCTTTTAGATATTTACACAGTCAAGTACAGTTTTAGCCATGCCAACAACAAGAAACGGTACTCGAGGCAAAACTTAGAACTGGTTATCGACTTTTTTTTCTTATTTCATTAAAATGAAAAATTAATACGACTTTCCTACTTCACTTTAATGAAGTAAAGAGACAAAATTCTTAAATAATCTTTCATAACACTTAACTGCTATATTCATTTCTTAGACTCCAAAAACAAAGGCATGGTTAACTTTAAGTCAAATAGGTGTCACATTACCTTGCCTTGCATTTCTTTGGGCAATCATTCCTAGGCTCTCTATATGAACAGTCATATGGAAGAAAGAATGGCTGAGGTGGCAACTGTTCCAATGCTGTGGCCACA